TTTCAGAGCAGGGAATCTAACTTCAGGCAGGCAGTGTTCTGGTTGAATTTGTTACCCTGAAGGAAACTCTGCATTTTTCAGTTCCAAGTTTAAATAAAACATCTCCAGAAAGCTTCTTTAAGTTTGAATATTATAAAACATCTTGTTTGAGTAAAGAAATACAAAAATTTAAATATGTCTGCTGGTTCTTAATAGATGTTTTACTAAAAATACAATTAAACACTTTAACTTTATTACTGTTTGAAATTATTCATGTTCCAACAATATAATTATTTATTTTAACTTAATTCTGAGGAATGTCAATGGAAAAAGTTGCAATGAGACAAGACTAAGTGGGAAGGTCTTAGGTGTGGGCGGAGTTTTGGAAAACTGGGTAGAGTCAATCACTTCCTTCACAAACTCCTCCCACAACTAATCATTGCCTTCACAAACTCCTCCCACACCCAACTACTGCCTTCACAAACTCCTCCCACAACCATTCACCAATTTTACAAACTCCTCCCACACCCAAACATTTCCATCACAAACTCCTCCCACAACTAATCACTGCCTTCACAAACACCTCCCACACCCAATCACTGCCTTCACAAACTCCTCCCGCAACTAATCACTGCCTTCACAAACTCCTCCCACAACCAATCAACAATTTTACAAACTCCTCCCACACCCAGTCATTGCCTTCACAAACTCCTCCCACACCCAATCATTGCCTTCACAAACTCCTCCCACAACCAATCAACAATTTTACAAACTCCTCCCACACCCAATCATTGCCTTCACAAACTCGTCCCACACCCAAGCACTGCCTTCAAACTTCACCCACCCTCAATCACTGCCTTCAAACTCCTCCCACACCCAATCATTGCCTTCACAAACTCCTCCCACACCCAATCATTGCCTTCACAAACTCCTCCCACACCCAATCATTGCCTTCACAAACTCCTCCCACAACCAATCACCAATTTTACAAACTCCTCCCACACCCAATCACTGCCTTCACAAACTCCTCCCACACCCAATCACTGCCTTCACAAACTCCTCCCACAACCAATCACCAATTTTACAAACTCCTCCCACACCCAGTCACTGCCTTTACAAACTCCTCCCACAACTAATCACTGCCTTCAAAAACTCCTCCCACACCCAACTACTGCCTTCACAAACTCCTCCCACAGCCAATCACCAATTTTACAAACTCCTCCCACACCCAATCATTGCCTTCACAAACTCCTCCCACAACCAATCACTGCCTTCACAAACTCCTCCCACAACCAATCAGTGCCTTCACAAACTCCTCCCACATCCTATCATTGCCTTCACAAACTCCTTCTACACCCAATCACTGCCTTCACAAACTTCTCCCACACCTAACTACTGCCTCCACAAACTCCTCCCACACCCAATCACTGCCTTCACAAACTCCTCCCACACCCAATCACTGCCTCCACAAACTCCTCCCACACCCAATCACTGCCTTCACAAACTCCTCCCACACCCAATCACTGCCTCCACAAACTCCTCCCACAACCAATCACTGCCTTCACAAACTCCTCCCACAACCAATCACTGCCTTCACAAACTTTTCATACAGAGCTGCAACCTTTCTTGGTTTTTACCAAAAAAAAAAAAAACACATTTTATTTCAGCATTTTTTATGTTTTTTGTGTTCCACTAAATATGAGCTGGGTAAAGTTTAGTTTTCAAACCACAGCAAATATGAATGAAGTGCATACATGATCAGGAAAATTTGAGTTTTGTTTTAAAAAACACATCTCATTTCTGAGCTTCTGTTTCCAAACAGGACAGGAAATATTATCCCACGACTCTATTAGTCTTTGGATGGAGAGAGACAGCTTCTGCACACAGCATATTGATTTTTTAAGAAGTTTGACAAATAGAGAGCCATGGGGCGTGAGCTGTATGTACGGTTCAGACTGCAGAGAGGATCTGTTGATTTAATATCTCAAAAATACGAGTTCACTGGAGTCAAACAGGACAGTAATCCTGGTAAATTAAATTTTGTAATTCAGCATAGGTTCTTGGATTAGTCTTGATGAGAATTTGTTCTTTTTCCAGGAGGTCCAGAGGAATGGAAAAGCAGGTATCCCTGCAGGACGATGGCCCAGTTTGTTGAGCCTGACTTGTCCACGTAGCAGCGGGAGTGGCAGCGAGCTGTCACTGTCCAGYGCCGGCAGCGAGTACTCCAGCGGCTCACACACTTGGGCAGACGGACGAGGCGTCTCCAAGCAGGTGAAGGGGGTTTCTTCCTTTTCTCCGCTCTGTTGTTTTGAGACACTAAAAATGAAAATCACATCTCACTGTCATTCTGTTCAGTGCTCCGCTGGTCGGGACAAGAGGATGAGCACGGGCTCGGTGTCCAGTAATCATTCCGTTGAACAAACAGACCTCGGCTGGAAGGAGGGTCATATCCTTAAGGGTTTGAAACGTCTTCAGACAAAAAAGTCCAAAGAGGCGTCCTTACATGCTTCTGTTTCACACTGCAAAGACTGCATGATTTCCAATGAGGGCATTTATTCTCTTGGCGTCAAGTCCAACCAACAAGGAGCTGCAGCCAAGAAGGTAGCCCCTTCCAAGTCCGACGCAGGAATGGCTACCTTGGATTCCGATGATCCAGATGATGAAAAATCCAAATCGGTCGACAGGGAGTCCAGCGGTGAACCAACCAGAGATCATCTTTGTTTGGACAAACTAGATTTTTCTAAGGTTGACGAGAAAAACTTTCAGGCGGACTCGGTCAGCCTTTCAGCAGATTCTGGTCTCTTCCCCTCGCCAGACTCGGACAGTTTTTTGTTCCTGGACTGCTCAGCACTCAAACTTGGTGTGAGCCCGACTGACAGCCTGACACGCCTCGAGAAAACCGACAAGAACTCCATGGAGGACCACAAATCACCAGCAATAAAGTTCAGCGACCGGAACAACAACCAAGAGCGGTCCACCGACCGTAAGTCTAGACTCGACTATACCAAAAAGGAACAAGAGGGATTTCCTGTAAAACCAACCGAAGCAAATGAAGTGACCTCATCAGTTCAGCACTCTGCAACCAGAGCGCTGAGCTGCATGAATGAAGCAAGACAACGCAGCTCTTCCATGGAGGTTCCTCAATGCAAGGACCAGACCAAAGGAAGTAAGGAGCAGGTTGTCACCGAATCTCCGCAGAGGAGACCAAAACCTCAGTTCTGTGATTCTGCAAGGACGGCTTTCATCCTGCGAAGCAAGAGTGCAGATGGAGGGCAAGAACAACTCAAGCATGTCCACTCTCCCCTGCATCAAAAGCTCATAAAGGGTCAAAGACCCAAAGTACAGTCAGAACCGAATCCTTCAGGGCTCAACGTTCAAGGCAAGAGGTCTAACCTCAATAATGCCAATGGTTCAAGTAAAAGCGCCTTAAATAAAAATGAACAAAATGAAGACCTTACAGCAGCAACAAGTTCCAAGTCTCTTGAAAATGTGCAACAGCTGACTCCTGTCGTGTCCCCGGTGAAGCAATCAAAGATCATTAAGTCTCCGGGCCTTAAGAGTCCAACAAAATCCTCACAAGTCTCGAGCAGTGATTCTGTGGAGGAGAGCATCTACAACAACCTGCCCTGCTCACCACAAAAGCAGCGGCGCCAAGACCACCAGGGTGAYGCAACCCAACCGGAACACAAGTCCCCATCTCCACCGTGGCCCCCAGGTCGAAGTACTTCCCTCCTCCTTCGAAGCAGCTCAGAGAATTCAGCCAAGGATCAAAAACCAGCAGGTCAGACTCAAAGCTCCACCACCGGTAAACCAGGATCAACCAAAACCGAGTCTAGCGTAATGAGGGATCAACATCCAGCACAGCAAAAAGGATCTGAACTGATAAAAGATGTCCCTGCAAAGATTTACCACACCTCTGTCTCAAATGTCCCAATTCAAGAATCTCAATCTGCAGAGTTTACAGACAGAAATAGGATGAGCTGTGAGGAAAACRGAGCTCCATTCATATTGTCAAGTCAGAGGATCCTGCAAAGATCCCAACAGAGCGTCAGTGAGCCAAAACTGTCTGAGGTCCTACCTGCTGGGTTCCCGAATGTTTCCTACCAAGAGATCTCTTATAATCACCAGATGTCTAGCTCGAACATCTTGAAAAGGACACTTCCTGTAAATGCAAAATCTCACGAGGTGATAGCCGGACAGGACTCAAGCACCTTCGTCATATTTGGAAGACAAAACAAAGATGACATCAGAAACCTCCAGACCTTTCAGACATTTTCATGTGATCCCCAGGCGATCCATGACAGAGCTCGCAGGAAGATAGAGACCCGCTGCAGCTCCCTGGATTCTGACCCCATTCAGCCAGTTGCACTGGATGATGGCGGGATGTTGGATTGGGGGCTGGACGAGCAAGGGTGGCTGTTCAAGCGGTCTGTGTCTGTGTCTACCAGACCTCTTCTCAAACCAGTGATGGGCATGAACGGGGCTAAGGCTCGCAGTCAGAGCTTTGGTGCTCGTTACATGGACAGGCCGAGCTTCAATCGATCTGGAAAAGTCCGCACTCAGATCAAAACCCACTCGGGAAGCTCTCTGAATTCTCTCGGCGATGTTCTTCCAGGGAGCATGAGTTGCTCCAGTAGCTACCACTGTCCAATGAACCGATCCCTTTTAAACAACTTCCTGATCGAAGAAGGACTGACGGTTCCCTCGCAACTGGGGTCCTCGAGCGAAAGACTTCAGAGTCTCAAACTTCAACGYGAGCAGGCTAGGCGGCTTCAAATTGAGCAGCAGTTCTCAAGCGCCTTCGGGGAGCCGGTCTCCGAAGAACCAGAGAGACAAAGCACCATTACCACCATTGAGGAGAAGGTCATGCTTGGAATCGAGGAGAACCTGCACAAGTCTCAAGAACAAGAGAGGACTAACGAAGTCAAGCAAAAATCCAGCTCGGGTCTGGCAAGTTGGTTTGGTTTTCGTAAGAGTAAGCTTCCTGCCATGAGCAGCAGAAAGGCAGATCCGCCAAAGGTCAAAGAGGAAAAGCGAGAGCAAAAGATTACGTCTCTTCTGGGAGGGAAGAACACGAAGTCGGACAAAAAGAAGGAGAGAAGGAAAAGTGATGGAAAAGACTGGTAAGAAATTCAACAAATCTTTTCTAAATGCCATCTATCAATTAACATAACAGCCAAGATCTGAACTGATGAACTGACGCAGGGTTTTATTTTTTAAACTAATTTTTCAGTCTTCAGACATATTTTAGTTGTGTTTTTGTCATGTTTTAATCGAATCAGTATCACACGACAAACCGTTTTTTCTTTTCAGCTCGGCGGGAAGAAGAGAGTCTCACGATGCGGTACGAGCTTGCATCTCGATGCCCTGCCCAGGAATGTCTCTGAGCGAGATACAAGGACACRCTAACATCATGGGAGACCAGCAGGTAGAACCCGTTTATTAAGCTGCACCAGTAATCTTTGAAACAAACTATTAAACAAACAAACTTTCACAAAACTATTAAGATGCAGATGATGAACCGAAGACCCGATGGTGAAAATGGATCCACAGCAAAGAGCCCTGCTCAGGACGCAGTGATAGGTCGGTTCTACCGTCACACTTCCTGTTTGTCCTGTTAAATCAGACTTTTGTTTTCTGAAACAAACGTTGAACTTTGTTACCGTTTCACAGCATGCAGACAGAAGTGAAGACCAAATATGACAGACGTGTGTAAGTCTTAAACAACAAATTTTGCTTTAATCAGTCAAACGGACATGCAAAATGCAAAGTTTGTGCTTCTTCCATCGTATCTATGTTGGACTCTGAATCTGCTTTTGCATCAAGTTGAAAATAAATCATTTCACCAGAAGCTCATTCATGATGTGCTGTACRAGGAAAATGCTGGTTTAAACCTTCATCTTTAAACATTCATGCACAGGAAATCTGCATGTGAAGGTTCATCTCCCAGTGCTGTTTCAATATTTCAACGTCTATTCTTGGACCAGAAACAAATACGGCTGCTGTGAGGGAAGTCAAACTTATTAAAACTTCTTTCCGTGGAGCAGGTAGAGGACAGGTGAGAGGTCCGGCAGGAGCTCCGTTTGGCCCGGCGCTGTAAACACCAACTACGTTTGATWCGGTTGGACGCCTGCCCTCGAGGGTTAATCACCTCATTAAAATTTCAGCTCTGCAATGACGAAGCGTAACCATCCAAACCACTGCAGGGAGAATTAACTTTGCTTTTAGCTCTGAGATGATTTTTACCATCCAGACACTCACAAAAAACTAAATAAAATATCTTTATTACTAATAAAACACACTCTACCACCTAAAATGAAGTCCTTGTAGAAACTGCTTTTATTTTAGGTCACCCCTCTTTTCTGGAGATTCTGGAGATTTTGCTACATTGCATACTTTTGGGATTTTATGCACATTTATTAGTTTTTAACAAATTTGATATTTCATCTTCAGTTTTACATCAAAGCATAGATATTTTTGTCTTCCATCCAGCCGTACTGCTAGAAAACCTAAACAAAAAGTTAACTCATAGTGCGCTAAGAAYATAGCTTTGAAAACCCCTATCTGCTAAACATGTTAAAAACTAGCAGAAGCWAATACTAASAGCTAATTGCTAACAGCTRAGACGACTTGTTTTCATCTCCTTCCAGCAGAAGACTGGTGGGACTGACACAAACCTGTTGTTTSTTTGTTAGTTAGCTTAAAGTTGGCAAAACTGAATTTAGCAGAAGCTAATCATTYTGCCAACAGTTTCCACAGGTTAGGGAAAAAGCTAAACCGCTAATCAAAAATCAGTTCTGCTATTTGTTGCTAGCAGATTAGTGGAACCATGCTTGCTGCTGTTAAAAACTTTTAAAAAATAGGTCAAGTTTTTGTAATTAAAACTTGTAGTTTTCACACAACTGTTTGTTTGGAGCCCCGCCCCTTCTACTCCTCAAAAATGGTGGGAATCACCACAGTAACCAGTGTTGCCAGACTGGGTGGGTTTCCACCAAATTGTGCTGCTTTTTTAACATGTTGGGCTGAAAAAACCCAGCTTTGGTCGGGTTGTTAAAATTTGKGCTGCTTTTCACCAAATTTGTTGGGCTTTTAACTTATTCACAGAAAAAGTTGTATCAAAGTATTAAGTGCCAGTTTGAAATGGTATTGGTTAATGTGAATTGTAAATRCCCCAAATAGGAACGAGATCCTGAGGACCCCCCCTTTCTGCCAAACAATCCAAGGACTATCAGTTGACTTTTGTTGTGCATGTGCTTTCAGCTAACACACCAAACACCTAAGCTAACACCTCCACTATTTCTTTGTTTACAAGTTTTCACTCTAAAGATGCGTCTGACACTAGCTGCATTTCCATTGACCACAAAAATTCACAAATTAGAATTGCAAAAATTAATTTGCCCAATGGAAACATGCCAATTTTTGAAAAAAAAAACACGTTTTTCAACATATTGGTTTTGCGCTAGGATATGGTAGTTTTTCGGCTGTATCGAAATTGTTCTGTTTAGCAAAACTGCAATGGAAACACTTTTTCGCATCACGGGAGTCACGTGATCAACAACTACTGGCAAAAAAGACGACAAAGAAGAAGACAACAGGAAGTAGAAGTAGTAAAATCGCCAACTTCAATTTCCCAAATCGCTGCAAACGTAGCTGCTCCCAAGTATAAGAGGCTTGTGGCTCGAAAGCCTCGATAAGGCGCCGACGTCTCCACTGATGATGAGCGCAGTGTCGTGGGAGCAATATATATCTAATGTAAGTGTTTACATCCGGTGCCGCCATGTTTGTAACGACTTATCGCGAGAACAAACGTATTCAYGCATGRTTTTAATAGCWTTTCTTACTTAATGGAAACACCGCAATTGTGAAACTGTGTTTTTCGACATTAACAGAATATCATTTGCAACGGAAACACAGCTACTGTCTTTTCAGAGCTACAAAAACCTGTAAATACAGTGTCTGATTTTATTTATTTGTTTTTGAGTTCGGCAGGTTTTACGTTGTGTGGACACCATTAGTCCGATCTGGCAACCCTGGCAGTAACCAAAGATTCAGCACATATCTTCTCTGTTACCCAGCAAGCTTTATTTTATTATTTTCAAACTTTAACATAAAATATTTCATTGAAAATTACACATTTGTAAAAACCCTGCAACAAACGTCCTAAAAGGAAATTAAAAAGTTTATGTTAAACTAACCTAAATTTTCCAAATAAAGCTCATAAATGCACTTCAAAATTAAGAGTCTGACTATGTCACAACTTCGTTATTTTTAAATTTTGTGTTGAAATTTTAGACTGTAGCTGCATCCCAAAATTCTGCATGATTTTGTGTTATTATTTAGGTGAGGAATTAGTTTTAATTTGAAACAAACTCATTTGTTTTTTGCACTGTACTCGTTCCCTCGAATGTTCCCCGAGAAAACCTTTYCTAAAGATGAATTCTTTATTAACCAAAACAAACCTGAAGGCTGGAACGAACCACTGCAGCTCTTATTCTCCAAACTGAAYCCAACACGGCTGCTTAGCTTCTGTTTGAGGAGAAAAACAACCTCACCGTTCACGCTGGAGGCTCATTGAAACAAATCAATTGTTGGTTTCGGTGATTTTGTTGTTCTGGAGAAAACCGTGTCGCAGAAATTACCAGCTCCAGTTTAAGAACGGACGGACGAATAAAATCAGTTCTGACGGATGATTGTTGCCGTTTGTCTTTAAGAGATTTCAGAACAGAAAGAAGACAGATGAGCTCGTGGAAACCCCAGAGAGGACGGCGAAGTCTCGTGCGAGCTCGTCTTAATTAATTAATAAAGAAAAAGCAGCAGTTTGTCTTCTCGCCTGCAGGTTTTTAGCTGCAGGCTGCAAAATAAATAACAAGCTTCAGACTTTGAGAATCTGTTGTGTTTTTTTGCACACAAGAACAAAAGTAGATGAGCTACAGCTTCATCAGGAAAACTTGAGAAACTAGTTTTTTTTAATGTCAGGGTCTGCGGGGGGCCGACGTTTGGATCAAGGWAGCTGTTGATGATGCCTGTTTTATTATGTTCAGTTTTTAGAGGTTTTGCTAACTTAGAATTTCATAAGTAGACCAGTTAGTTTTGGTAATACAGTATTACGTTTTGCCAGCTGTATGTCCGATAACCACAAACTGACAGGTTTGAATCGTCAACTAGAAGGAGATGAATGTGATAATGGTCCTCTTAGCTGTTAGCTGTTTTCCCCATGTTTAGCTGTTTAGCTTTAGATACGGTTTTTAGTTAGCAAATTGAGTTTCTTAGTGGCAAGCAATGAGCTGTTTGGTACTAATTTATACTTTAGCTGTTCAGCATTAGCTTATATATTTTTTGTTCTTTAGCATTAGCAAAGCTATTGTTTTAGTTAGTGGATTGAGTTTTCTGGTGGTTAGTGATTAGCTCTTAGTGCTAGCTTCTGCTAATTTATACTTTTTTAGCTGTTCAGAGTTAGCTTTGGCTAATTTTTTTTACTACTTTAGCATTAGCAAGGCTATATTTTTAATTAGTGGATTGAGTTTTCTTGTGATTAGTGATTAGCTGTTAGTGTTAGCTTCTGCTGGTTTATACTTGTTTAGCTGTTTCACATTCATTTTGCTAATTCTTTTCTTATTTAGCATTAGCAACGCTATATTTTTAGTTTGCGGTTTATGAGTTTCTTAGAGGTTAGCGATTACTTGTTAGTGTATAGGTCCTCTGGACGGGTTCTTCTCTAATGAAACGTTTCGTCTCTCCTCCAAGAGACTTCTTC